CGCAACCTACAAAATGGTATAAGATTTTTCGATTCAATTCGGTCCGTTCTACCTGCTCGTGATCGATTAGCCGATAATTTTCAAACACCCTGTATATAAAAAATCGAAAGAAAAAGGTCTACGAACCTAAGATTAATCGTTATAAATTAAAATTTTAAACCGTTAATGAATAAAACATGTCATATAGTTAAAATATAAAACTTTAATTTGCCGGCAATAAACAATAAAATAAAAACAAACGTTTCGATCCTTGGATCATTATTAATATTAACAAAAATAATAGTTAAATTATTACAAAGTTAAGATATATAAAAATTATAATTCGCTCTCAATCGCAGTATTAATTATATTCTTAAAGTTTTTTGATAAATTAGTTTCTATATTCTCTAATTCGACATTTTCAATATTTCTCTTCTTTTTCATTTTTCTTTTTTTTAGTAATATTCCTTTTTTTTCTTTTTATTTAATTCTGACATTTAAATCGATGTAGAGGAGCTCACCATGACAGGATAACTTTTAGTTTATATATGTTAGTTTGTGTTTGCTCTGATGAAAGCTAAAAAATGAACCGAAACATGTAAGCGCGTTTGTTGAATAAATAAATTTTAAGCTTCATAGATGTATTATTTGCGCGACGTCTTCTCCGCCTGACTCCTAACGCCAGTATTCTTTCCAATTCTTATTTACCAGGTATGTAAATATGAAACCGGAATTTAAATATGAACCGGAATTTACCAATAGATGGTCATAACTGTAGTTGTCGTCAGACCGCGTCATTGGCGCCATTTCCTTGTTCTGACATCTGACAAAGATTTTCAACTCACAACAATACAATTCATACAACAGTATAGTTTGTAATAGCATTGAACATGTCGAATTTTGTGCCTGGAAACTACGATTTGCGGACAGCATTGATTTTCTGTTACCATTTGAAGAAAACTGCTGCAGAATCGCATCGAATGCTTATCGAAGCTTACGGCGAGCATGTTCTTGGTAAATCACAGTGCTTTGAGTGGTTTAAAAAATTCAAAAGTGGCGATTTTGACGTGAGAAACGAAGAACATGTAAAACCACCGAAAAAGTTTGAAGACAGCGAATTGCAAGCATTGTTGGATGAGGATGCTCAAACTCAACAACTCGCGGATCAATTGAATGTGACACGAGAAGCCGTCTCCATACGTTTGAAATCCATGGGAAAGATCCAGAAGATGGGAAAATGGGTTCCACATGAACTGAATGAAAGACACCGAAAAACCACTTGCGAAATGCTGCTCGCCAGGTACAAAAGAAAGTCATTTCTCCATCGAATTGTGACTGGCAATGAAAAGTGGATATATTTTGAGAATACTAAGCGTAAAAGATCATGGGTAACTCCAGGCGAACCATCGACATCGACTGCAAGGCCAAATCGCTATGGACGGAAGACAATGCTCTGTGTTTGGTGGGTTCAGAAAGTGATCTATTATGAGCTGCCAAAACCTGGCGAAACCGTTAATATTGAACGCTACCGACAACAAATGATCAATTTGAATCAAGCTTTGCGTGAAAAACGACCGGAATATCAAAAAAGGCAACACAAAGTGATTTTGTTTCATGATAATGCACCATCACACACAGCAAAACTGGTCAAGGAAACGATTGAGGCGTTTGATTGGGAAATACTTTTGCATGCGGCTTATTTACCAGACTTGGCTCCGTCCGATTACTACTTATTTGCATCGGTGGGACATGCACTTGCTCAGCAGCGCTTTGCTTCTTACGAAGATGTACGAAAATGGCTAGATGACTGGTTTGGCTCAAAAGAGCAACAATTTTTTTGGCGTGGCATCCACAAATTGTCAGACAGGTGGGAAAAATGTATAGCTAGCGATGGGCAATACTTCGAATAAAATATTTTTTATCATTTTCATGCAATAAACGTGTATTTTCTATTAAAAAATTCCGGTTTCATATTTACATACCTGGTATAGTATCAGATAGAAGTGCGAGAATAACATCATCAACATATCTAAATTAAAATAATGAATGTACTGATAATTTATTGATTGCTATTTTTTCTAGATCTTGCATTACAATGTCGGCGATTATCGGTGATAACGGTGAATCCATTGGAGTACCAAATACTTCTTTATAAGTTTTATTAAAAGCAAAAAAAGTAGAATCTAAAATAAATTTAACTGCAATAGTGAATTCGTTTTTAGAAATGTTTGTCTTCGTTGAAATGCAATCCCATCTCCTGTCGATGCTATTTAATGCTAGATCCACAGGAATATTAGTAAAAAGGGATACTACATCTAACAAAACCAAAACATATTGAGAATCAAAACGTGTGCTATTTAATTTTTCAACTAAATGGAAACTGTCTTTATTGTGGCTAGAAGCTTTTAATATGCTGTCATTAATTATATTATGTAAGAAGAGAGAAAGATAATATAGTGGACTGTTGATAAAGGATACAGAGTCACTCTTAATGGGTTGCCGTCTTTATGTATTTTAGTCAAACCGTAAGCCCCCTAGGTATAACACCATCAGTTGTAAGCAATCTACGATATGTCTGATCATCAATAAACCCATCGCGCGCTTCCATCTTACAAGCAATGTACGTAAGTCCTGAATCAATTTTTTAATTAAATCTTTATTAACAATTTCATAAGTATTGGTATCTGAAATCTCCTGCATTTTTGATACGTAGGTGTCTTTTTCAAGGACAACAGTGACATTCCCCTTATTAGCGTTTGTAATGAGTATATTTGGATGGTCATTTATAAATTTATTTGTTACGTATAGCCATTCTAAAATCTGTTTGTCAATAAAATTAGGAGAAGGAAAATTATTATGGAATCTGTTAAGTATTGAGATAGAATTATTTCTAACAAAGTTAATAATGTTTTTAGGTCTACTACTTATATTATTTTTAATGTGTTTAATGAATTCAATTAAAGTTTTTCTTTGTTGTCTCTATTAATAGGAAGCCCAAATTTTTCATCAAGTTGTAATAAATACCGAACTTCTAAAGGAATGTCAATGCTGCTAACAAACCATTTGTCATGTAGCGTGTCGAGGGGAGGCGCCTAACTAAATTTGTCCGGATTAATATCGATTCTTTCAGAGTCAGCATGAATGTTTTGTGAGTCATTGTAAACCGTGAGTTGAATATTGTTAGAATTATCATTTGTATCATTGGAAACAGAACAAACGTATGAAACGTATAGGTTTAATTTTAGACTTGGATAATGTAAATTTGTTATGTCGTAACTAGTCTATTTTTTATTTATTCTATACATTTGTTAAAAAAAAATGTATTGCTAATATGATCCAAATATTTAAAGAAATCACATTCCACAGAGGCTGGCAAAATATTAGAAATTGTATTCGAAAGATTGAAAATATTAAGGTAGTTGAGCCATTAATCGTCAGGTTACCAGTAATCGCCATGTTTACATATTAAAGACATACTTTAGTATTTTCTATTGATCGTACAGTTTGTTGATATTTTTATTGGTTCCAACAAGGTATTTACAATGTTGTGTTACATTATGAAACTCGTAAGTATATGAATTCACTACAGATTAAATCGAATATGTGCAGCAACCGAGTCGATGCATGATTTTGACCAAATGCTTCATCGTGAGGTTAAGAGACACCATTTGACATCTTGTGTGATTTGGAATATTGGCAACTTGCATGAGGTAAATTGAGCATCAAATTAATCAAGATCGCAGTTTTACGTACACCATCACAAATTATTGTTTCGTACAAATTTCATATTTTTTTTTACGTGACTAGCACCGGTTCATCGAAGCACGTAGTCGTTCGAGTAATCGCCTGTCGATTACTGAGACTAGGTGACCCGAAAAAATTCTTGTAAATAAAATAATAATTTTATCCAAAATCCAAATAGAAAAATCAGAACCGTAATTGTTATTATCTAGAGACTTTACGGACCAGTAATCGTCATAGGCATAGTCGAGTTAATAAATAGATATATGCAAACAAATAAAGAATGTCGATCACCGGATCATTTCTATGTCGATAACTGAGTACGTCAGAGATGGGCACTACTCGAATAAAAACTAATTAAGTATTTACAATTCTTTTCTGTTGAAATAGTTATTAACACTAGAAATTTAAATACCTATTACGGTCAGAGCTGGATCTTCGTTGCTTTAAATTTAAATAATTCAATTTTTGAATTACTAATATATACTATATATGTACTTGCATATATACCATATTGTAATCTTTCTAACTGCGCGCCGAATTGTTTTTCCGGACTAAATAAACGCAATTAAAACTACTCTAGTAATCGTGAATTAATTTGACAAGCAATTTAATAATTTGATGCTATCATCAAGCATCATATATTAAAAAGATGTTAATATAGTAAAAACTGTTAATAAATTTATTGCGAAAAATATTACCTCGGTCGGGACTTGAACCCGGATCTCTTGTAAACCATACGAGCGTCCTGAGCCATTAAACTACCGAGGCCTTAAGGCCGCGACACAAGCTTTTGCATAACGCATAACGCAT